CTCCCCGCCCCCCTATTTCATCAGCTCTGGAGAAGTTTTCTGCTGTGTGTTAGTTAATCAGCTTGTCACCTGGCCTGTCATTTTGTCTTGTTTACAATGAGTTGTATCCTACCTATAAAAATGCCTTTTGTGTTGTTTGTTTTAATGAAAGCATGCAGATTACAGAAAAGTTTAGCTGCTGGTAGTTTCCAAGCTGGTACTTATTAGCTCAGGTAGCAGGATAGCCTGGGTCCAGAGACCAGAGTGGGGTCAAATGCTGCTAGGGAGAAAATCAAGCCCCCCAATCTGGGGTCTCACTCCCCCCAAAATAAAAAAGCTCTTTATCTAAATTTCTATTATGTGGCATCTCCTGGTTTCTAATATTATCAACTACAATTTATTCCTAGGTGTTGCTTAATGAACAAAATACATCCACCACTTTTCAACCTCTGGTTTGCATACGTGACAAGGGCAGGTTTTCTGTTGCTGGTGACAATCAAACCATCCCTGAATTCCACACAGAACATGGCTCAGGGGATGCCTGGCCACCCCTCATGGCCTACAGCCTCTCTAGGTGCTGGACTGACCCTGTAGCGTCATGACTATGACAACTCTCTGACTCTTGGGCTAAAGTGATCCTCCCATTTTGGTCTCCCAGGTACACATTCGACCACAGGTCCTTTTTCTGTTTGCATTGGGTTTTTGGATGTCTGAGCTTGGTCCAGCCTTGCGTGACCCCACCCACCAGGCCACAGCATGGGCAGAGCTACACGTGGGAAGTTCAGAGTTCAGAATACTGCTGCTCACCAGTGAACAGCACTGGAGACAAGCTAGGTGTTTCTTAGTAGCCGACTCACTGCATGATGGTGCAGCCATAGTCTAGGCTGATGCTCTAGAACCTCTGAAGAAATGAGCTCCATCAGTATGCACTGGCATGCAGAAGATCTCCAAGAAATCCTGAAATAAATATACAGGAAGCAAACTGGTGAATGGTGCATAGTCCGGCTTGAATTGAAAAAATACACATACACACATTGCACACAGGCATACAGACACACACATGTGTATGTGTACATTGCATTTCTGGATGGTCAACCTGCACAAAAAAAAATACTAACAGTTTATTTGCACACCCATTTATCTAATATACTAGTATTAAGGTAAAACATTGAATGTGAAAATGTATTTCTTAAATACTATTTCAAAGGAAAACATGATGCTTTTTATTCTGATTTTCTGGTAGGAAACTATTTTTTCCTAGAGTAATCTAGTGGGCATTGATTGCTTGAACTTGGCATTCTTTATCGGCTTTATTTTATTTTATTGTCAATGTACTGATTGCTTTGCTTTTGGCTCTGTTCTTCTTTTAATACCAGTGAGTCTCCCAATTCTCGCTATGCCTATTGATCAACTCGCTGAAGCCATTTTTAGGCCGAACCCATTACATAGAGAATAATAACAAAGTGAGTCTGAGGGTCTGCTGGTCAGCCCTGCCCTGACACTGCTCCCGTCTTGTCCCCACAGATGACAGAAGGCAGGCACTGCCAGGTGCACCTCCCAGATGACAGGAGACTGGAGCTGCTTGTTCAGGTAGGCCCTGCCCATCCTGGGTCTCTCTTGTGGGTAAAACAGGTTAGAAAAGCGTGTTACTGTGAGGTTAGACCCTGTATTCTACCACTTTCCTGCGGCATGACCTTGTGCAGGTTAAACTCCTACTCACACAGAATGGGGACTAAGTAAGCATCCTTGGTCTTACAGAGAAGGATTGTATTTGTGAGTGCCGTTCCGTTGTCAAATCTATAGGACTTGAAGAATGACAGCAATTTAGCTCTTGGTGCTTGATTTTCTATTACCCCCCACCCCAATCCAACACCCAAGACCAAGTGTCTTCAGAAATGGCAATTCCTGCAGACAAACCACACCAGGCTAGACTTTACTTGGAGGCCAACCTGTATTCTTTTTCCTTCAGAGACTTGTCCCTGGTCCACTAAGCCTAGGCCTCAATTAGAATGAAAATAGAAAGGGCCACAGGAGTTCTACAAGAGGACACCTCTTAGCCCTGTTCTGCCTGCTACTTGTCTCTTTTTCTTTTCCTTCTTGTTTTCTTTCTTCCCTCCCTCCCTCCCTCCTTCTCCAGTAGCCAACCTCCACCCTGTATCCTCAATTGTTAGATTCACTTTAGGAGGAAGCCATGTCCAATACCCACCTTCAGTCCCCCTCTTCTTCCTCGCTCCTAGCAAATCCCCTGTCCTTTATCCCTCTGGACATTCTGGCAGGTTCTAAGTCACACTTCCCACCCATCCCAGAGCTTCCCCCAAGCTCCTAGATCAACATAAGAGCTTCCCCCAAGCTCCTAGATCAACATAGATCCTACGTACTATCGATGGAACAGGTACCATGATGCAACCTTAGGGAGAAATGGACAGCATGGAATTCTGAAGTCCTTGGAACTAGGTTCCAATGATTGCCCCAATGAACGGTGTAATAACACACCAGCCCTTGATGTCACCTTGGTTGGTGCTTTAAGGTGGAAACATAAAGCTCCACTGCATAGACTCATTGTAAGGATTTGGTGAGCTAACAGACAGGAAATTAGCATAGTAAATTCTGACCGTTTAAATAACTAATTACTATAGTTCGATCTATCGCCAGTCCTCCTGCTTTGGGCCTCTACAACTGGACACCACCCACCAAAATGATTCCCATAATCTTTAAGAGTTTCATAGATCATTAGGCAGTGAGCTAGCTAATATTCTTTCCTTGGCCACATCTTAGTAAGCACAGGGTTACCTTAGAAGGAAAATGGAAGTATAAATACGTGAAAGTGAAAATATCTTGTTGACACTCCTGTTCCTATCTTTTCTCCTTCCCCCAAACTCCTAGAGAGTAGTCTTAAGAGTTGTTTGTGTAAAAACAAACAAAACAGAGCCGCTATAAACTATTGAGGGTGGAAGAGCGTAGAACTATGAGAGCCTCAGCCACATTACTGCTAATCAGGCTTTTATTTTGACAGCCCAAACTTTTGTCAAGAGAGTTGCTGGACCTCGTGGCTTCACATTTCAACCTGAAGGAAAAGGAGTACTTTGGGATAACATTTATAGATGACACGTAAGTTTTCATAGTTTTTAATTTCTTTGCCTTTTGCCAAAATTCCCTGCTTGTTGCTTTTCATAATTGACCAAAAAAGGGGAAAAAAGTACTTCAGCAATCTGAGTGTGTCCTGCTTATTAGTTCATAGTTTCTCAGTACAAGACACTTTTCCTGTATTGCAAAAGGAAGAGGAAAAGAAATTCTGACCGTTTAAATAACTCAAAATGTCGGGGCTGGGAAGGTGGCTCAGTGGTAGAATGCTTGCTTTGCATGCATGAGGCCCTGGGTTCGATTCCTCAGCACCACATAAGCAGAAAAAGCTAGAAGTGGTGCTGTGGCTCAAGTGGTAGAGCGCTAGCCTTGAGCTGAAGGGCTGAGGGACAGTGCCCAGGCCCAGAGTTCAGGCCCCATGACCGACAAAAAATAAATAAATAAAAATAAATAAATAAATAACTCAAAATGTTATTCTTCATGTTTTAGAATTTGTTTCTCTTAAGTGTAGTCTGTCTTTACCTGCTTGCTGACTTCATGCATGTGTCAATGATAATTTTATATATATATATATATTTATATATATATATATATATATATTTGTAAGCTAGGCACCAGTGGCTCACACTTGTAATCCTAGCTACTCAGGAGGCTGAGATCTGAGGCTCCCAGTTCAAAGCCAACCCAGGCAGAGACTTTTATCTCCAATAAACCACTAAGAAAACCGGAAGTGGTGCAGTGGCTCAAGTGGTAGACTGCTAGCCTTGAGCTGAAGAGCTGAGGGACAGCACCCAGGCCCAGAGTTCAGGCCCCATGACCAACAAAAAAAAAAATTGTTGTTCATATCTTGAAACTGAATTCATGATTTGGGGTTAGTGGCAAGAAAGTTCCAGGATAAATCTCTGGTCCATGTAAAAGACACATCAGTTAGTATGGAATGAACTTTGTAACTTCATCTTAGGTCCAATTTATATTGCCTTTAACCTTTCATTTTGCTTTCTTTTTTTTTTTTTTATTTTTTATTTTTTTTGGGTCCGGTCGTGGGGCCTGAACTCTGGGCTTGGGCGCTGTCCCTCAGCTCTTCAGCTCAAGGCTAGCGCTCTACCACTTGAGCCACAGCACCACTTCCGGCTTTTTTCTTTTTGCTTATGTGGTGCTGAGGAATCGAACCCAGGGCCTCATGCATGCAAGGCAAGAGCTCTACCACTGAGCCACCTTCCCAGCCCCCATTTTGCTTTCTTTTATTTCCATTTTTGTGCTAACTTGCAGTAGAGTGTTGTGTGTTTATTTGTCAACAAGGTAACTATTTTCTGAAATGAAGTAAGTATAGTATATAAGAATAAATATAAGAATATATAAGAATTAATATAAGAATAAATAAATGATCATTTAAAACTATGTAAGTGAATATGTTTGGAATTAGCTCTTCTCTCTTTCTATGTGTGTATATGTCTGTATGTTTTATATACATACATTATATGCAGTTTACTTCCATTAAAGAAATTATTTTCCCTTTCTGGAGAAAACTTCTGAAATGTTAAACTTCCTTAAATATTAAAATTCAAGAAAATATTTTCCAGACACAAAACATATTGGCCCACCATCCAGCATTCTTTCCATAGCTCTTTCAGTTTAAGTGAGATTTTTTTTTTCAATTCTTTAGTTCAACCAGGTGGAAAATCATCTCAAGAAGGATTTTTTTTAAAACACGTTGTGACTTACAATGATTTTTCACCTGAGTAAACTATAACCTTGGACCTCCAGGCTGGCTGGACAAAACTCTTAAGGCTTGAGCTGGGTAAAACTCAAGAAGCTGTCAGGAACTGTAGAAAAACCCAGGGATAGTCTAGACTCTGGATGCTTTCAACAGCTGGACAGAGAAGGCAAAAAAATACACTGGGCATTGTACCTAGCTCTGAATCACTTGGACTCTTTGAGAGACTCCTTTATCTTCCCTCTGCTGGACAGAAAAAGGAAATGCAGGTATCCATGGGCCACAAGTTTTGGCCAGAAAGCAGCCACAGCCAGTTCTTATGAAAAAACAAAAACACACACACACACACACACAGGGGGAATCTGGATATAAATCAAAGAATAGCAAGCAATACATAACACCAAACTATAAATGCATAATGGCTAAGTTATATGGTATAAACTCAAATTGGTATAATCACTATAATTTAGGAGGTCACATAGAGTTGAGACTAAAAGCATGAATAATGGAGTGATTTTATTTGTCCAAAAATATTCCCTGAGTGCCCACTAAATGCCAGAAGCTGTTATAGGTCCCAGCATTTCATCTTTAAACAACATAGACAAGATCCTTGCTCTTCCTAGTTCCATATTGCAATGGTATTGTCTAGCACAGCAGAGCAAACAAATAATAAATGAGAAAATACTGGAAGTGCGTGATCATATGAAGAAAAGCTAGTTGAGTGGGCGCAGTGTTAGGCAGGGTGAGCCAGAATGGCTTCCAGGGCGAGCTCTGCAAAAAGTTTGAAGAGTCAGTCCTAATGGAGTCAATGCTGATGGAGAGCTCATCAGGCAGAACTTGACTTTTGTTGTTTGCTTATAAAAAGAAAATAACCAACCAGGCGCCAGTGGCTCACCAGCAATCACTAGCAATCCTAGCTACTCAGAAGGCTGAGATCTGAGGGTTGTGGTTCAAAGCCAGCCCAGGCAGAAAAGTCCCTCATGAGACTCTTATCTCCAATTAACCACTCAAAAACCAGAAGGAGTACTGTGGTTCAAAGTGGTAGAGCACTAGCCTTAAGCAAAATTGCTCAGGGACAACACTCAGGCCGAGTTTAAGCCCCACAACGAACAAAACGGAAAATAACCATGTGGCTGCATTATAGGAAGTTATAAAAACAGTACAAAATCAGGGTGAGAGGAAAGCAGGGGCAGGTGTCATAGAATCCTGGTGGCTGTATGGTTTTAGGACAGTTAGGTGCAATTCCAGCACTCACATTTTCTTATCAGTGTTATGAACATAATCATAGTACCTGTCTGTATAGTAAATACCATATCAGGTACTAGAATAGGGGCATGGGCTTCCAGACCGTTGGTACATCAAGTAAGACACACCTTGAGATGGAGACCACCAAAGGATGCCACATGGAGGCAGAACAGAACTTAAGGCTTTAGTGACCTGGGTTCCTCAGGTTACAAAGCTCCGGACAGGCTAGAAAAGAGAGTGCTGGCCCCCTGGAGGTTATCTGGGCAAAGTCTAAGCTCTGTTGAACCTTGAACCCCCTCCAGACAGGGAGTGCATCAAGCCCCTCTTCAGAAGGAACAGAACATGATAAGTAAATGACTTCCTTTAAAAGCCTGCCTCCCCTCCCCCACTACTCACCTACCACCCCCTCCCCTACCCCTTGCCTGCCCTGGAATTTCTTTCTACCCCATTGGTGGACAAATGGCTCATCCACCCCCTCTTCCAGGTATCTGCCCAGGCTCCAGCAGCCTAAGCTCCCCAGCTTCCCCTGGGTCCCACGTGTCCCCCGCGTGTTCCCCTTCACTTGGCAGCAATGTCTATTTCAATGTCTCGTGGCAGTGGCTGCATGTATTTTCAGAAAATAGATGAGTGGGGCTGGGCAGTGGAGAGAGGTGTTGGAATGGAGGAACTGGCCATTTCCACCTTTCTCAAGCACAGGCCTGGAAAATTGCTTCTGTCTGAGGGTGTCGCCTTGGAATGTCTTTGGCACGAGCCTAGTGCTTTTTCCTTGTCTGGTAAATATTTTTAGAAATGTTTCTGCATAACCACACACACACACACACACACACACACACACACGGACACACACTCTCCACTGACTTGCATTTTCCAGCCCATGTGCCACATCAGCCTGTGCCCTGGGTGAACTTCGGTAAATAGAGAAAGGCAAAGAGAATATTTTGTCAATGAAACTCACTACTGTTTACACTCCTGTCCTCTGAGCAAGAAAAGAAGTGGACCACTAGACTGCAGTTACATAATGAAAGTCCTGATGATTACCAATGTGGGAAGCAGGGAGCGGGGGAGATGCCATTCCAGCCTTGCTAAGACCAGGAAGGAGCAAATAACTGAGGATCACAACCATACCAGTAACTGAGGATCTAACCTTTACCACTTCTGCATGCAGTGCTGGTGTCTGCCCCTAGAGGGCAGTCTCCACCCTCCTATGTCAGGGGCCCATCCTTCTCCCCACCCCCACCCCCTACCCCACCCCACCCCACCAGTTTCCTCCTCCCTCAAGTTCATTTTTCCCCTTCCTATGGAAAGGCATCACTGAGCAAGCTTTATTGATGAAGAAAGACAGAATTTGCAGCAACGGTGACTTGGGGCCAAATCTAAAACACATCTGAACTTACTAGCGCATTGACTGTGCTCTCTGGCTAACCTAACTGGGATGTGCTGTGTGTGGTATTCCACAACGTTCTTGCAACATTCATTCTTACAGATGTTCCACGCAAGTGCATATAAACTGACTTCTCATGGATGCTATCTTTCCCCTGCAATAATACAATCATGGACAGCGCCAAGTGAGTCTTATGTGCCATAGAGAAAAACTTTTAAGACTTGATAGAGTATTTTACATATTTTAGCACATACTTTGAACAGCGGTAAAACTGAGCTGTCTTTAAGTCAGTGGAACCCTAAATTTGATGAAATGCAGTGCACCCATCCCCTAACTTCAGCCTTCCCCTTTGTTCCTCACACATATATAACAGCAACATTGGGAAGTTAAACTTCGCTCTACTCATCTGATTATTGATCTTTATAAGATTCCTCCCAAGAAATCTGGGGAAGTTATTAGTAATCTTTTCTTGTCATGATAGAAACAAAGACCCTTTTTCCAGTGTTGAAAGTGGAAAAGAGTAAGTGATAGAGATTGAACTTAAAGTTGTTCTAAAAGCTGGCCAAGTCCAGCGCTGGTGGCTCACACCTGTAATCCTAGCTACTCAGGAGGCTGAGATCTGAGGATCACGGTTCAAAGTCAGTCCCGACAGGAAAGTCTGTGAGATTCTTATCTCCAATAAACCACCAGGAAACTGGAAGTGGTGCTGTGGATCAAGTGGTAGAGCGTTCGCCTTGAACTGAAGAGCTGAGGGACAAGGTCCAGGCTCAGAATTCAAGACCCACAACTGAACCAAAAAACGAAGAAGAAGAAACCTGGCCAACACTCTGTCATTTATTTTTCACCCTTACTGAAAGCAGCTCCATCACTCTGCCCCAGATTTACTTTATAATCTCACTTTCGTAGCTAAAAGGTCTAGTTTGAATAACAAAGAATAGTTCAGTTTCTGTTACTATCTTTTGCCTACTCTTCCTATCTACTTGTAATGAATTCCATGAACAGTTTTTGATTTGGCCTAGGGCTGTAATCGTAGTTTCTCAGGAGACTGAGACCTGGAAGATCAAGGTTCAAAGAAAAGCCCTAGACAGAAAAGTCGGCACGATTCTATCTCCAATTAACCAGCGAAATGCTGGACAGGTGGTGTGGCTCAAATGGTAGAGCACCAGGTCTGAGGAAAAAGAAAGAAAACAAAAAGGCTGAGTAGGATCCTGAGGCTCTAAATTCAACCCCCCCCAAAAAAAATAAAAGATTAGAAAATGGCTTATGGCCCAATAATACAAAGCTTGTTGTAATTTGACACTTCAGCCTCACCGAGTTCTTAAGTTGGATCGTAGGTGAGTAAGTTAAAATTGCCTCTAAAATGGATAGGCAACCTTGCAAAAGTCATGTAAACAACCCAGAGTTAGCCATACTTTTGAGCCCTCAGAAGTCAAATTCTAGACCGAACAGTTTATACCCATGAATTTAATGAGGCTCTAGAGTAAACAACACTTAAATTTTGTTAAGTCTTTAATGTGGGCCCAAGAAATAACACCCAGACAGTATTTGACCCTGTACCTTCTAGTATGGTTATCTGTGTTATACATTCATAAACCATTTCATTGCACTACTTTCCTGACTAAAATATTTCACATTTCATATTGGACATGAATTTAAATATTAATCTAATGTTGCCTCATTTGTTTGTTTTAGATTAAAGGCTTTGCACTTACGAGGCGGGTACTCTGTTGCTTGAGGCACACCTCCAGCCCTCTTTGCTCTGATATTCTTTTTTTTTTTTTTGTGAAAATACTGTACATAGGGGTTACAATTACATGGACAAGATAATGAGTACATTTCTTATCAAGCATTGTAGCCTCCTCCTTTGTTTCCCCTTCCCATCCCTTCCAATCCTCTCCCCCCCAATCCCTGCCCCCCCCCCGCACCAAAGTTGTAAAGTTCATTTTTTGACATTGTACATCTCATTGTTGCAATAGGTCCACCTGTATCCCTATTTAAATGACTTGTTTTTCCCCTTCCCCTCCACAAATTATACCGACATCAAATACAGTGACAGGAGTTATGCTGTGGGGGAGGGACATACAAAGCAACAAAGAAATAATCTTATAAATGTGTTAGAAACAATTGCATGAAAGAAAAAGAAACATTTGCATACATATCTTAGGGTTCATTTCCCTAACATCAACTTATCTGACCTTTTCTGCTTGACTCAGACAGATACTAGTTATCGCAAATAAGGGAAACCATGGGACCTATGTTTCTTTGGGCCTGGCTTACTTCACTTAATATAATTTTTTCCAAGTCTTTCCATTTCCTAACAAATGGGGC